AATGTGACATGTATTCACCATAGTTCGTTTTAAGGTGATGCAGAGCTTGTAATAGAATTTTCCCACAATGCTATTAGTAGAGTAAACTTTCCATTGAATTTCACAAAGTCTTGCTTTCCCAAAAGTTGTTCTCATCCATCAACTCCCGTTGGGCGTGTTAAAAAAACCCATGCGAGGACGAAACTCCGGCCTCGATAGGAATAAATTTTGAGAAAGCAAGGCTTTATGAAATTTAATGAAAAGGTCAATTCTACTCATATTACTGATTTACTTGTAGTCTTAAAACTTTAGCTTTATTCGAAAAACAAAATCAGAATGCCAAAATTTAGTACAGACTTGAAAATTCCAGATGCCAAGGAAACATATCTATCCTAAGTTTGCTAATTAACTGGATATCTGAAGTGAGAATGATTTTGGATGAACTAAGTTTTCGAAACTTTCACATCTGATACAGCCTACTCTTTGAGAGAGGTTTATTTGGGTTTTGTATCGTAGACTTGTTTTTCCTGTGCCGAAAGTCCAGAAATTGCCTCACTAAATCTTATTAACGAGTTGGCTTGGGCTTCGGAATAAATTACACCCTAACATCTATTAGTGAGTCAGGTAGAGATGCACTGTAAAAATACAGCAAAGACCAAATGAAGATTTGATAAACCTCCTAGTATCAGCTGAACAAGGTTTGGCAGAGTTTGGTTTTATGGGAGTTCACTTTGCTTCCTTTCACTTGAGTAATTTGGTCAGTGGGTCAGAATCCATTAGAAGAGCCTTAAAATGTGGTTGTAACGGATGTTTTCACTGAATCTGAGCTCAATATGCTACTCTTCGTAATCTGAAGGCTCTTTATTCTGCAACAACTACAAGATCCTATTTAACTGGAAGCTATTTTGGGCCAAAATCGAATCACAAATTAGTAAAAAGTCTCAATATGGTAGAGTATAATCATTGTGGTTCAGGTGAACAAAATGCCATGAAACACGAGATTTTAGGCCGGCATGAAGAAAGATATGATATTAACTATCAACAACTAAATTTTAGCAACATTTTAACCGTTTTATAATTATCCTTTTGGATTTAGAAGGATTTAATAAGTCAGTTATCCGTTAAAATAGAGGTAGACTGAACGATTTAGCCATAACCTTTCATTGCGGATCTATACAATACTTAACAAGGGGCTAGTAAATAGTGGGATACCTGCTCCACATAATTCCTATTTTTGGAGTAGCTTGCTTATTTCATATTCCGATATTAAGTTTTCAGACAAAATAACACACATTTTTCGTTTATAAATAGGCATTCGAGACTAGCATTAGATAATATATATATGAGATGAATTTAGCTTATTTCGTTTAGGCTGATAAGGGGAGTGGTAGTTGAATTTTCTCACAACGATATGAGTAGATATGACTTTTTGATTCAATTGCACATGTTCTCGTATTCCCAAAAGTTATTCTCATCCAACCAGGATTGGACTGCAGTTTCGACAAAAGCCTAAATCGTAGCAACACTTACAACGGGACTCGAACCATAACAGTGCAGAGTATAATCTCGACACGTTAAACATTATGCCACACTGTCACGAGTGCAGTTGGGTCAGAGGGCAGATGTAAATTTCAAGAAGGTCAGGCAGTTATTTATATCATCTTTATCTTTCGAGCTATTTTCTTGTTAGATAATCTACTATGATTAATTAATAGCATCTACAGACTCAGCATATTTTTTTACCTCAGTAGACACAATTTAAATTTAATTAAATCTAACTACCAGCAAGCGCATTTAGAATATTTATTTTGTAAAACTAAATACTATGTAATTATATCTTGATAAATTTGGCCAATATTTGTATATGTCAAACAATTTATTATTAGTAAGTCAATATACATAATATATTTTATTTTTTAATTATCATAGGCTTCTCTGGACTGGCAGTTGCTGGATACGCTGTTAATGTAATTGATCTTGCACCGAATTTCGCTGGTCTGGTAATGGGCTTCGCTAATAGTGTCAGCACATTAACTGGCAAGTTTTTAATTTTGGTACATAAAAATTCTTAACCAAATAACTAAATTACAATTAATTTTTTCTTAAAAGTAATATAGTACACAATCAATAAATTGATCAATCAGCAAAGACCTCGGGTAAATCTGGAACATATAGGGTCTTGTTTGCTAAAAACATTGTCCGATAATCTTATATGGTGTATTTTTACGTACCTTCCTCTACTCATACGTGAAAGATTTTATTTACTTTACATAAGGGTGTTGTATTTCTTGTCTTAGTTAATTAACTGCATTCACTTAAATTCGTTTAAGGTGATGAAGGACTGGTAGAAGAAGAATTTTCCCACAACGATATGGGTTGAGCTGACGTTTTCATTGAATTTCCCATAGCCTTGCTTTCCCAAAAGTTCTTCTCATCCAGGGTGTTGATAATACCGATGCGAGGTCGAAACTGCAGTTCACTGGTGCCTGGATAAGAACACATTTTGGGAAAGCAAGGCTATATGAAATTCAATCGAAACTTCAGCTCAACTCATATCATTGTGGGAAAACTCTTATTCTACCAGTCCTTCATCACCTTAAACGAAATTGGGTGAATACATCTCATATAACTGATTTACTGGTGGTCACAAAAACAATATTTAATTAAAAAAATAAAGATTGGCCACTTATAAATTTTTACACGAGCTGAAATATTATGTAGGGATTAAAGAAAAACGCTAAGTGAAAATCCACTGTCCATATAACTTTATTTTCGTAAACTGAGCGCCAAGACATAAGTAACTCTTGAGACAGTGCACAATGTTTAGTGCTGTGGTAAAGTTGCAAGCCCGACTATAAATTAACATTTTTAGATTCATTTCAAAAAACGAACAACTTGGAACGTTTATTGTTCAACCATCTCGGCCAAGAATATGCCTGCAAAGCTAAGATCAGAATTTTTTAGCTCACCTTAACTTGTTAAGTAGTTTTATTTACAGCCCCCTTATATGCATAATGGGTGGGTTTCGAAAGTGTGAGTAGAGCATGATTGTAATTTTTATAGGTTTACGTCGCTTGAGTTGATTGAATTTTCCATACTCATACTCATCATCGCTTTTCACAAGGTTTCCCATCAAGATTTTCATCTGCACGAAGTCTCAGAAAGTTCTCTCTCTCCTCCACACAACCTCAGTTGCCAGTGGATTGTGGAGCAGATGTGGCTTTCTAGGCGAGCCAGGCTACTATCTATTCACCATTTTACAGGCTAACTGTACTAATTGAAGATAGCACCTTTTGCAATGTGAGTGTGTCGGCTTGTGTCGCGAATGACGACAAACGGGAATGCTCAACTCTCCATTCTCCATGCTCGTGTGCAGCCTAGTCTTGTGTTGAACGGAAAAAATGTCCTTATATGTTTACTTAGTATACTACTGACAACGTCATTTGCTACTAGCAAATGATTTTCCGTCTACGGCTTTAATCTTGCCAAGCCGGAAATAGAGGCTGGCGAAGCGTTGTGAGATGAAGGAATCCAAACAAACGGACTGACTTGTGTGTAATTGGCCATTATGTCTGAATGGTGACTACTTGTTCTCCAGCCAAAGGGTTAAAGTTGCTTTTATCCTGTCAATTGAGAGTAAAAGGAAGGCTAATCGCGAGGAAAGTTCAAGCCTACTCGGACAAACGTTGAAATACTTTCTTTTCCGTCGTGTTTCAGTTAATCATACACAAAGGACTCTCTGCTCGCGGCACGTTAGGATACCGGACAACAGACGTTTCTTGCTTAGTTTGTAATTAATTTCTGAAGCCAGCTGGTCTCTTGGTTGGCGCACTCCAGCTTCAGACCCTCTGACCGGCAGTACAGAAGTTGCAGGTCTGGCCGTCTGTCGGTCGTTTCGCGCAGTCGTCAAGCCGGCGTCTTTGCGTCTGTCCATGCGTTTCTCTTCCCTTTTGCCCCCTCGGCTGCCCTCGCAACGGAGCTGGGTCGCGATAGATAGTTGGCTTGACGGTGGCTTGATGCCACCAGATACGTGCGTACAACAACAGCACAATTGAACAGACTGCCTCGAGGATGTCTCCAATCTGCTTTCAATGACAAACCGTCAGACGAGATGTTTTTCAGAACGGGAATGACCTCTCTTTCACGGTTCGATTAGATCTACCTTTGCCGTCAAGTAGACAGACTCATCTCGACTTTTGTGTGTCTTTCCATCGTCCAAACCCCGCCTGGCATGTAAAATCCGTCCTAGCGACTCGTCCTCTGGCCACGGCCGTGCCGACATGTTGTGGCTGTTGCTAACGCAATTTTGAAAGTGTGGCCAAATCGGTCTGCGTCAGTCGGCGGCATGACGGGCCGATCGAGGTACAGACAATTGTCCGGCGAAAGGAGCGACGAAGCGAACCGCTGTCCGAACCCGCACTCTTCTGCTCCGGTTTCGAGGTGTACTTTCGGGCGAGTCAGGCGGTGCAAGATGCTCGAGTAGACGTGACTGTTGGCCGCAATGCACAATCAGACGCAACCGAGCGAGACGATGCTCGGCGACGCGGAACCGGCCGTCGAGCTGACGGCGTCCGGCGGTGCCGAGCGGACGGCCTCGTCGAACTGGCAGCACCGAGCGTCGAGTGTGCAGTTGGGTCTTCGAGGGCCTCTGTTGTTGCCGGTTATGATGCCGGCCGCGACGGCCGACGCCTCGGAGACGACGAGCATGAGCGAATCGCGTCTGATCCGATCGACGGGACGCGGCCGAAAGCGACCCACTTTGGTACCGATGACGCAACAGGAGTGCGCTCGCGCGATCGGTCGACACCTGCGCGCGTCTGGTCTGGCCATGGAGACGCCGAGGCAAGTGTGCTGTTGCGGACCGGGCAAGAAGCGCTATCTCATCGCTCTGCTCTGCTCTCTCTGCCTGACGGTGGTGATCGGAATGCGATCCGAGATGATCGGAATCCTCAACGCGCTCAACGACTCGTTCGACAGTCCAGACAGCCAGACGACGGAAGGCGAGGTCGACGCCATCCGGATCCAGGATCATCTGCAGCCTCAGAACGCCGGCTCGGAGTCGCAATCGCCGTCGAACCAAACTAGAAATGCCTCTTACAGAAGATCCGTCACTCGAACACACTCCAAGTCGTCGTTGGGCGGAATGGCTGCTCCGACAAATCGGAGACAATCCTCTTTAATGGGTCAATTCGTTCCGACCGACCTCGATGCCTATTCTTCGTCGAACTTTCCAAAGTCCAGCCAGCAGACTTTAGTATCTTCCAAGCCGGCCAAACTGAGCTTCAGACCGGGCAGGCATCGCAAGCTGCCCTGGACCGAGGGCATCACGGAAGATCTCATCGAGAATGCCGTCTTCTTCGCCTATCTCATCGCCAGCCCGATCGGCGGCTATTTGACCGTGAAACATGACTCTTCACTGCTGCTCGGATGCTCCGTGGCGATGACCTGTGGCATGAACCTCTTTCTGCCGCTGGTGGAAACGATCGGAAAAAATCTTCCCGTCAAAATCACCATCATTGTACTTCTTCGTCTTCTGCAAGGTCTGGCAGAGGGTTGTCTGATTCCTGCCGTCTTTGGGGTTCTCCGATTCTGGGGACCGGAGAACGAACGATCAACTTTGGTGTGTCTTGCCGTGATCGGAGTTTCGCTGGGTCCACTCATCGGTTTGCCCGTATGCACGTTGATTGAGAAAAAGTTGGGCTGGGGTGTCGTGTTTTACATTTACGCCAACCTCGGTCTTATTTGGTGCATATTTTGGTGGCGTTTGATTGACGAAAAGCCGAGTAAAGACAAATCTCTTTCACAAATCGAGCGGGACTACTTAGATACTCATCTTTCCAGCAGAATTCTGAATTCGCGCAGGACAAATGTGATACCGTGGAAGGCAATATTCACATCACGTCCAATATTTGCCATTTTTTTCACATACGCAGCAGACGATTGGACGTTCCAGATTTCCTCTGTGTGCATGCAGTCATTTTATCGGCAGTTGTATGATGCAGACGTTGATCGAACCATATTTTTGCTCTCCTTTCCGTTTCTATCCAGGTCAATTTTTGTGCCAGTTGGTAAGTATTTCATAAAACATCATCAACTCAAGAGATCGTCATATACAAAATCTCAAATTGTTATTTTTATTGATTCGAAAAACAGCTTTGTAGGTTGACAAATATGTAATAGGATAGTTATATATTGTATATGCCAAAAATTGGATACCCCCGAGCAATCCAGTGTAGTGATTATTGAAACCACAATTTTTTTAGTTCAAAGCAAGTCATGCAATTTGTAAAATGATGCCTTAAACTGTGAATTTTTTATGACGCAGTGAGTAGGCTATTATTTAAAATATTTATTTTTTGATAGCAGAAATACGATTGTTGCACATTTTGAATAAGAATAAAGACAAATATACAAATAAAAATAAGTATAATACTGGAAATAACCTTTATTGCCTAAATTTGATAAAGAAAAGCATAAATTTGGAAATTCTTTGCCTAAACGCGGTGAAGATGATCTTGCATGCTAATAAGTGTAGAATATTTCCTATATTATTGAATTATATCTGATAAACAAAGTTCCATTCAGGACATGTGGCAATACCTTTAAACACTTGTTAACAGGCACCGTATAATATGCTCTTGATCGTGGTTACCACGCAGACGGAAAGACTAACCTGATGTTTTCCACTGAGGGACCGACCTTCTTCTTAGGGGTCTTTTATATTTGAGTCCGCAGGTTAAATGTCTATTTTCGTATAGTATATTTAAAAAACTTTTGCATTAAAAAAATTAATTTCTTGAAATACCAATATGTACAGGGAATACTCTTCATTATTTTAGAAAATTAAACTAAGCTAGTGTTTAATGCCCTCTAAAAAATACTACCACTTCTTACGTAGTGAAAACTTTCTGTTCAACACATCGCTTTAATGTCTATTTAATGGGAATTTAGTTTGAAAAGATTTAGTGATTGCAAACTGCATTAAGTCTTACAAAATTTACAAAAGATTTACCTGCCCATTAAACAGCTTTTTATATAAAGAATGATCGTGGTCTAATAAAGCTAATTATTATAATGTTCAATAAAAAAATACTTTTTCTCTTCTATTTATTTTTGAATAATATCTAGCCAGAAGAGTTAAGTAGAATAAAATCACCATTCCATAAATCAGGCTGCTCAGATACACTATTAGTAATAATGATTACTAAACAATTTAGACAAACATAGTCGAAATATGCTAAAGCCACAGAAAGACTAGACAACCTCGCTGTACCTACACATGAGCGATAAAAGCTAATATAAATATATATAATATATCCAAAGCATACAGAAAATAGCCTAAAGATAGACATTAATGCATTTTAAATTATTACAAGGGCTTCGTGGATTTATTAAAATATCGCCACCAAGTTTTATTTTTATACACAATTCAATTTATTAGGTAGTGTGTAATATTTAAACTATTTTCGTATTTCAATTTGTAGTAAACATTGCTATCTGCATGACTAGTCTTTGCAGATAAAGCTTAAAAATTTAATTTTTACATCATATAAGATAGAAAAATTAAGGAAAAAATATTAAATTTCGTTATACACATGATAATTTCATGTATGGCAACCGAAAAAAAATAAGCAACTGTTTTCTATATTGCAAACATTTCTGGAGGAAAAATTTGATATGTGCAAATTTGCTGTAAAAATATATTGTGGGGGAATTTCATTTCGTATGAAAGTAGATGAAGAAGAGATTCGTAGGTCGATCTTACTGGAAGAGGACGAATGAATCGCGTTTTACTGCAGCCGTTTGGTTTTTATACTACGTTCAGGTTGACGCAGCTGAACGCCTTATAATAGCCAAATGGCTGCAGTACAACGCCATTCATCCGTCCTCTTCTGGTGAGATCGACATACAAATATCTTCTTCATGCACTTTCATATAAAATAAAAATCCTACCAACAATGATATCTAAGGAGATTCATAAAAACCTAGTTGTTCTCCATATCTAAAATGTAAAAATATGTCATTTTAAAACAATATTTTGAATTTAATACTCCTAAATCACCTGTTTAATCAAAGACTCAATGTGGTAAAGATTGAAGAGTCAAGTATAAATAAGTAAAATGTGATATTGAAACGTCGGTACAAATTATACCAGCATATATTCGTTAAAATATGAAAACGATATTGATTATTGCTTATTGAGCTAAGGTTTACGCTGTAGTTCCTGTGCGATCTTTTGACTTTTATAATAGTTTGAACTAAAATTCTACAATTTCAGATATAAAAAGTTATTCTGATTAATAACTTTGTGAGCCTATGCATTTTTTATACAACAGAAGAACTCTCAAATCCATCGGATTTCACTGGGCCGTGCCTTATAACAGCCAATTTATTTCCGAGAAGACGGAAATTTCGACCTAGTCTAGTTCTTGTTAGCGTCCCCATTCGGATTTGTCACCATGAGCGTAATGGCACGACTATATTTACCTCTCTAATCCACAGCCATGATAGACAGTGAGTCACAGGGCAGAAACAAAATTCTAGATAAACCAGACCTCTCCCAATTGATTCTGAAGTGGATTATTGCGTTACTTATTTTCGAAAGAAGTAGGTACCTGAACCATGCGTAATTGGTGAATGAGAATTTAATCTTTGGTTGAAATAGCAATCATATGCTTGGTTAATCGAGAATTATATTATAAAATGTAGAGGAAGGACTAATACTAAACTAAATTTCATTATATGTAACTGACCATATATCAAAGTTTTAATTACCATTGCTTACTCAAAAGGTCGCGTGAAAACCAGAAAATAAATGAAATACTATAAATTTCCTTTCGAATTTAATAAAGAAATAATGAGCTGTACGTGGTTTTTTTACAAAGAGATACTTCCTATGGTACAAATAGTTGTGTAAAATAGTTTGAAAGTCTCTTAGAACTAATGCACAGCAAACAATCTTTATTAAATTTATTCTAATATTCAATTTGTCCTTACTTATAAGCAAAATAGCTTAACTAAAATTGTACAAGTTTATGAACGTTTGACATAAAAGGAGAAAACTTTTTAGCCTAATAGAAACAGATAAATTATCTTTGAATATAGGCGAAAAGATTCAATATAGTAAGTATATAGTGATTCAATATTTTTCGAAATAATTGATGACAAAAATATAACTTATGTTTTAAATAAAATATTATATTAACAGAATAGCCGATTAAGCATTATTAAGAATAATAAAGTTTGTGCAAATCATGCATAGTTGCCTAACCAATAAGCTCTTTTTAATGCGACTACTCTTAAGGCACATTAAGACCAGGACCTTTATTTTAAAAATATAAATATACCGACTTTTACAGATGGAGCGTATAAAAAGAAGGCTGCGTGTCGTCTCTACAAAGAATATGCTAAATTGGCTTAGGCATTGATGGGCAATGCAAAATATACATATCATTGAGAAAATTCGCTGGAATATAACAAGAAAAAATTATGAATTGATTTAAGGCTTAGGCTTTGTCACGTTCTCCCTGAATATATAGCTAAATCCATATAAGAGAAAATGTTTACAATCTTGCCTTGAATCTTGTCTGAATATAAGTCATAGAAGAGCATTTCTATCCATTTTTCTTCATAAATCTCAAATAAAAAGCGGGAAATTTCGCTTGGATTAAAAACTGTCATGAAACTTGACGTTTACTAAGCCTATAATTGACGCCAGAGTTACTAACTTTCCGTCGATTACCTTATACCAATCCTAAAAGATTAAGATCAATTATAATAAAATCTATAATGATTTATGTTGAAAATGGATAAACTTAACTCCACATTTATTATACTTTGCTATTTTCTCAACATACTTTACACGTTGTCAAATAGACATAATAATTTGTACTAGCATAAAGCGAGTTTGCTGTAATGACTAGCAGATAAAGTTCAAGCTTATAAATGGTTGTAAGGCCTACTATTCTTTATAAACTACTGTATATTTATGTGAATATATAGTGAATTGGTATTGACTATTTTTAAGTAATTGGCTGATTTATCGATGCTTAATTAATTATTACAATAAGAGTAGATGAAAATAAATTTGTAACAACCTTATTTATGAAGCGGTCGTATTTATTAAATGTTTCTCTATCTCCTCATACCTAATTAAGAAATAAATCTTGATCGTAACTAAGATTCTATTAAACAATTTTTTGAATAATTTTTATTGTTTTTGTGCAATATATTTATTTCATAGAGCCAAATTTCATGTTGTGACGCTCCAAAAGTTTATAAATCTGCTTTTTCTGTTTTATCACACAAATATATATGTGCTATTTCTGAGTTTGTCCATATGAAATAATATAGAATATTAAGATTACGATTTTATATCAAAAAAGTTTTTTTTACAATATTTCTTCTGAGCATATTGTAATTAATAGGAAAGCATTATGAAATCATTCCTTAGATCAAATTATCTATACATATTTTATTAAGCAAACAGAATTTATTCAACAACTATAGCGTATCACCTTCTAATCTGGATACAGAGAAAGAGTGTGGATTTCAAAATATCTGCTCCTTTAGTTAAAGCCAAAACAAATAATTGCGTCATTTAAATGTATATTAGAGGCTTTCCTTTTTTCGATGTTAACAAACCTAATTTAACCTTTTCAACAATTTAAAATGCGAGTACAATACATCTAACAAGGATTTCTGGTTAGAAAATGTAAAGAAGTATAGTTTAAGAGGATATAAACTTTCTAAGATCATATAAGTTTTAAATATATTTGAAATAATGGAAACGCTTAATTAGGTTAATTTATATATACATTTAGAGGTGGAGCGATTATTAGTAATTTTAATCGTGTTTCAACTAAAAGAATAAACAGCATAACTCTTAATTCCCTTTTTATCACAATTAATGCCTAGTTAATCTATAAAATCGTAGTAAACTTTTAATTATTAATATTTTTTACGTTGCTTTAGAATATCCTTACATTTTTATATGTGTTTATTAATCAAGTAAATTTTAATCAAGCGTATAGCTAAAGATATAATGATGCTTTCCTGACAGTTATAACTAAAACACGAAATGTTTTACTTAGGGTTTAAGACATTTGAAACCCACTATATGTGAATACAAATAAACCGTCACTGACCCTAGATAAAATTACAAAA